GATAGTTTTGATTTAAATGGACTTGAACTGGACGAAGAATTGAGGACACTGTCACCAATGTTGCCACATGCAAAATCGGTGATGGACATTGTACAGTTTATTCATACCAGCAAACTTGTTGACATATATCCTAATGTGTACATTGCCACTCGTATTCTACCGACAATTCCTGTAACAGTCGCATCAGGAGAACGGAGTTTCTCAAAACTAAAGCTCATTAAAAACTCTCTCCGTTCTACAATGAGTCAGGAATGCTTGACTGGTCTTGCTATTCCCGCAATCGAACAAGACATCACTTTGTCTTTGTCATACAATGACATTATTACTGCTTTTGCAGCCAAAAAAAGCCAGAACGATTGCTTTTAATTAAAAACAAATCCTTGTTTCAATACCTCTTCATCTAAATTTCCAATAAAATGTTGACAAATTAAAAGAATTATATTATTTGCATCATTCTGTCAAATCAGAATTTTTTCTATAGCGCTACTTCTTTAGTGCTAGTCCATCAGCATCACAGCGTGCTTAATTAAGTGAAACTGGGTTTAATAACATGCATGTGGCAAGTTTTCCAATACTGTAAGCTTATGTTTGTGTTGTTAAGAGCAAGTCAGGCACAGGGGCACCAGTTTAATAATCCCGCCTAGGGCACCATAAATCCTAAGGACGGCCCTGGAAGCAGGTGCTTGGGGCGGCCAATACAAAGGGGCGGCACTCCATCCGCTACTGGGGCGGCCCACCTGGGTCTTCGGCGGCAGGTCCCTCAGTCCCTCTCTTCCTCTTTGAGCTGCCGCCGAAGTGCCGCCGAAGAGGAAGAGAGGGAGCGAAGGACCCGCAGCCAAACTGCCGACGAAGAATGGAGCGGCTCGATTGAGCTGCCGCTGATGGTTTGGGGTTTTTTTTTTGCCACTTGGAGCAGCAGAAAACCTGGAGCCGGCCCTGATCTCCTCCAGCCTGTGTACTGCTGCTCCCAGCACAGCCCCTAGCGCTGCCCTGGGGCAATGGGACCAACCCTAACTGCCAGGGGACAGCGCCCCCCGCTCAGGGCGATTCACCCACAGACAAACCAGGCTCGCACCTAGACCTTGAATTCATGGCCCCAAAATTACAGGCCAGTGTCCTCCTCTTCACCCCACCCAGGGGCTCCGCCTGCCCACAGCTGCCCCCTCTGACCTGTGGGGCTGGGCCTGGCACCCCCCCCAGGGGCTGCACCGGAGTGACGGGGGGATATGGGGGGAAGGGGGAAGAGACAGAACAGAAGGGAGGGCAGAGCCCCCCCAACTGCCCCCTCATCCCTGTGTCCCAATGGCCCTTCCCCCTCCATCCCAATGGCCAATCCCCCTCCCTATAGCCCCTTCCTCTCCCAATGGCCCCTCCCCCTCCCTGCCCTTGCCTCTCCCATTAGCCCCCTTCCATCCCCATAGTCCCTCCCCCTCCCTTCCCCTCCATCCCTAAGGCCCCTCCCCACCCCTGCCTGCCCGTCCCTCTCCCATTAGTCCCTCCCCTATTGCATAGCTCCTCCCTGCCCCTCCCCGCTAATGGCCCCTCCCCGTCCCTCATTAGCCCCTCCCATCTCCCCAATAGCCCCTCCCCCTCCCTTCCCCTCCATCCCTAAGGCCCCTCCCCACCCCTGCCTGCCCGTCCCTCTCCCATTAGTCCCTCCCCTATTGCATAGCTCCTCCCTGC